CATCAGCAACATTTCAAATTAAACTTCAGGAAATAGCTCAGGGAAATAACCTGAACTGGCAAGTAGAGAGACGTAGCTCATCCCTGCAATGGTACAGTGGCCAAAAAGGAAGCTAGTACGTAAGAAAAAAAATGGTATCTGACTGAGCAGGCAGTCCTCATGCTTTATTTTTGTTTCATAAGCAACAGATGTTTTATGTAATACTCATATGACCATTGGAACAGTCTACCTTCTGATCAGTCACTGTATACTTGTTAAATAGCTCTAGCCTTTCCTTTTCCTTCAAGTAAAACAAACATGGAGACCACAGATGATTATGTGACCCTTAAGATATCCAGAAGCAAGGTTTTCCAAAGGAAAATTTGTAATGAGTCAAACACCTAAATAACAGCAAGATGAACAACTTTGAGAAGCACTCAAACTCCTAATGGGTTTAACTTTTCTCAAAATCTAGCCACTTATGTCAGTGCCTCCATATGACCCATTCTTCTAAAAACGTGGTCCAGCCTATGTATGCTAAATTCTCTTGAAATTCAGTCCTTGGTATGCATCTTCCCAAGCCACTGAAAAGAATAGATTTGTAGTAAGAAAAAAAAATCGACCCAAGTACTCAACAAAGAAAGTGCAGACTAGAAAACTTGGCCAAATTATTTTTCCAGATATGTTTGAGGTCTAAATCTGCTCATCATCTTTAAACAAATAGCCAAAGAGAATCAGTCAGGATTCTTCAAATGGCTGGCTTCAGAACTGAGATCCAGCTAAAACGCTTTCACACTCGTATGCTGACACGAGGTTCTCTTGATCCATATAGTGACACGTTTGGTCATAATGTTGAACATCACCGCTAATAATCATGATGTCCTGTTTCATGCTAAGATGAAGAGGGAAGAAAGTTTGAATGTGGGTACTCAAAATTTTTGGGGGTGTTTTTCCAACAGCAGGTGTTTGCAGGAAGTCTGTATTACATCAGACTGCTCTACTGTTTTGACAGGACACAAAATGTCCATACAGTAACACTACACAGGCAGCTGTCATTATACATCCAGCATTATCTTTCAGTATAGTTATGGGTATATACAGCATTTGTATTACTGCCAATTAATCAGTTGTTGTCACTATTTGACTATCAAACAAACAATCTGGGAAATCTGAACCATTCGCACTCCCAACAGTGCAGATTCCTCTCAATTTTCAGATCAGGAGATCAGGTCCTTTTTTTCCTAATACTCAGAAAGCACTCAGGAATTATTTTTTCTCAGAAAAGAAACCACCATCATTTTATACTGAATTTGCTCAGACTTCTGGAAACATCTATTTCATACTAGGTATGCCCAAGATGACTTGTATGAGAATAACCACTTCAGTTTACTTTGTGTAAAACTTGTTACATGATACCTATGGTTACAGCTTTGAATGTTGATCTCCAAGATGGAGGAATTTAATCCCCTCGTCTGCTGAGCCATATAGGAAAATATCATGTTCATATAAGGCATATAGCAGTACTTTCAATTCATTAATCTTCTTCAGTAAAACACAGTGGCAAGGCTATGTTCAGTTTTGTTCTCATTCATTTGAAACAGAATCACCATGCTGCATCACTCTTGAAGAACAAGATCATATGAAATTCACAGGGGGAAAAACCAACATAAGAAACTCACATGCCAACCAAGAAGGACTTTAATGCAATGAGAGTGTATTTTAAAATGACACTTCACACAATGTTTGGGAATGAATCTTCTCATTAACAGAGGAAAGCTAAAACCTGTTTTTCAAATGGCATTTATGTCATTAAATGTGGGTATGAGTGAATATGCAATGCTGATAGACAGCTCTTTATCAGAGGACAGGTTCAAGCATGTATGGTGCTCGTTCCAGCTTCTCCAACATGGAGATCCATCTACTCCTCTTGTGACACCCAACAACTTAAGTTTTAGTTTCCATTCTTATTGAGTTATTAGTCTCTCTGTGGATACTGGAAATAAAGGCAATCACATATGGCTAATTGTGGCAGGTATCAGATGACAGAATCTGTCTGCCCCAGTGGGGACTCAAAGGCAGGGAGAGAAACGGAGGGCTTCAGATTCCGAACCCCTCAGTGGGAATCAACAAGGCATTTCAAAATGAGAGACTACATTTTCACTGACAAAGAGCATCTTTGCCACAGGAAAACAATCAGGTGTTAGCTGTTCTTCTATAAATACAGTGTGCATTTCATTTACAAAAAGAAAATTCTGTTTTGACAACTGGGGATAAAAAGGTACTTCCTGTTGATCTCACAGGACACTACTAAAGTCATGCCCTGCCTTAAAATTCTCTAATGAAATAACAAAGACATGTTTATCACTATACAAACAAACAAGAAATATTCCTTGGCTTTGTCTTCACTAAGATAATGTTGTGTACCAAATTCTGCCGGGAGCAACAAACTGAGCACTGTGTCAGGTTCTTTGATCTCCCCTGAAAACTACTGCTTTTAGTATACAAAGCCTGAAAGATGAGTGACAGGCAGGATAGAAAAAGAAGAAAAGAAGGAACGTTGTACTTTTCTGACCTTCTACTGTCTGACAACCAGAAGACAGAGGGTTTGTAGGGAACACTATGGTTATATGTAATGTAGGGGAATGTCTGAAGTAAGAAGACTTCCTCCTTGAAAGAGACTGTAATGGCTGCACATTCACTCATGCAATTTGAAGGTGGGTTTGGACCTGTTCTTCATGACAAACGTGACGAGTGTTTCTTCATGACTGAAGAAACAGTCATCACTGACCTAAACTGGATTGGAACAGTTTGGAAGGCACAATTTTTCTAGGCTTGCAGCTATGCTAGATTCAGCTCCACTCATGTTCACGCGGGTGAGAGTCCATTCTGAGTACTGTATCATAAAACCTTTCTCAAAGCACACCTAGCCTGACTCCTTCAAATGGCACCAGAAATTGAGAGGCATGTCCAATTTCTATTGGACAGGTTGTGCTGATGGTTAAAAATCACTGTTAAGATGTGAAGAAAGACAACTTTAAATTTTTGCCAGCATATACATACCCCTAGAGATCAAGTCTGAAAGATTTGAAGAGTCTACAGAGTTAGTAATTCGAACCTCTCCCACTGACTGGCTCCCAAACTCTCCCTTTAATTCCAGACTAAATAACATGTAGCAAAACAACATAGGTGAATTCGGTCAATAGTTTCATTTTAATGTTCTTCTTGGCACAAAAACAAGAGGCCTTTGAGGTTTTCAAATTTTCCACAACCTAAACTCATCTTAAGACATTTATGAAGTCAGTCACATCTGCACAAAGCCCACCTTTTTATAAGGAAACTATAATTGTGATAAAGCCTAGTTTAATCAGAATACTTCAGCCCGCTGCACTCAGAGATACAGCCCAAAGCCAGTCCTGAAATGAAAGTAAACCATCCTCCCAACTTACTGGAGCACTGATGCATTCTTTCAGGACTAGCTTGATGACTGCAAAAATAAGGAGAATTAGACTCATATCTCTATCTTCTCATTGCGAGCTAGCTCCATTTTTGTTTACCCTTTTTTTCCCCTCTTTCTTCCATATGTGTGTTCGTGTGTGTTTGACTATTATAAGCACTTTATCAATACTGACGTTACTCCTCAAAATTCATTTCAGAGGGATGACTTCTATGGCTCTCGTGATTCTTAAGCCGCCTACAGTATTTGTAACTCACAGAATCAGAAACTAACACATAGACAGTGTAGCTTTTCATACAAAAGCACAATAGGAATGAATGTATTAACCTCTGTGGTATATGGAATGTGTCAGTTTACACACTGGCAGCTATTTCTGTGAAACTCAGCTAACTTCCGCTGCCTGTGTTAAAATTAAAAAAACCTATCTTCCTCAGAACTATGTCCCACGCTCTCGTACGCTGGCCAAACAACTGAAATATCTGATGTTGCAGAGAATCTACTTCATACTGATGCTGGCCAAACTGAGTTTGAGAATGCATTTTACACATACTGTTTATAAATGCTGAGCTTTTCCAAGCAGGTATAAAGCTCTGCTGTTCCATGTGACTTGGCAAATTACAACAAGCGGGGAGACGAATTAGCAGTGGAGAGTATGGGATTTTTTTGTTTGTTTGTTTCTCAAAACACTGTCAATCCAGATTTTGCAGAACTGGAGATGATTTGGATCTTGATTTCATTTTAGTCCCAAATTTTACCTGGCTTAATCCTATCAGCAATGCATACATGGTGGGTAACAACACTTGAAGTGTGGAGATGGACATCACATTTGCTTAATTCCAGTGACTTGGCAAGGGTTGTGGGGCTGATCAGGAATACCTGAAGAACATCTGCACCACTATCATTAAGACCCATGGACACCCTAATACCTACAAAATTTAGAATGATATTGGGAGTTTTGAATCAGATATATCTGACTACTGGGCCAACTCTTTAACATAGCTCTAAATTTTTTTTTGTATCTTTCCACCTGTTTTCTAATTGCCTATCTTAAATCAGTATAATCACTAATTATCTGCACTACAGCAGTGCCTAAAATGTGCTGGGTACCATAAAACACTGTAGGAGGGGCCAGTCATTGCTCTGAAGAGCTTACAGCCTAAAAGGACATAATCACGTTAAGCGACTTTTAAGCAGTTTAAAAGTGCTTGTCAGGACAGAGGTTTTCTGCCGGGTGATGTATTCCCTTTTGCTGGTTTACACCTAGCCAGCCTTTACAGCCCCCATCAGAACTATCAAAAGGAAAAGACAACCAAACATACTGCTCTGCTGAAATGTAAAGCACAAACCTAAAAGTAGCTAAACTGACAATAAAGACACAAAAACGTAACAAAAAGTTCCCTCAAGGGAAAAGGAAAATGTATACGATTTGACGAATATTTTGCTTCAGATGCAAATTTTATGTGAACAGACCAAAACCCCTGTTAATTGCATTGTGTTCAAATGGAAGAGAAAACTGGTTTTCATATTTACTTAACCTTTGCCTCTTCTGCATTGTTTTCGGACTTACCTGCAGTTGAAGTGGGCCTAAGCCTGGTGTTGCTGCGGCAGCAGCTGCCATGGTAGTTGGGATCAGCTGAACGGGGTAAGGGTCACCTAAGTAAGAGAATAATAGAGGCGTCAGCACCTTTTATCTACTCTCCACCTGCAAATTAAAGTCCTGCATTCACTCTTT